TGCGCCAGCCGGATTTATCAAGCAGGCTAGCTCGATGGTCCCTCAAATTACAAGGCTATAGGTTCAAGATAGAACACCGAAAAGGGTCATTGAATGTTGTCCCGGATAGCCTGTCACGCCAAAACTTCGACGAAATCGCTGATCTTGAAGTCCGTCCGCTCGTTGATCTGAAGTCGTCCGAGTTTTTGTCAGAAAAGTACGAGAAATTAATTAGTCACGTCCGAAATAATGAAAGCCATCTTCCCGGCCTACAAATAATGGATAACCATATTTACAAACGCAATGAACACCCCAATGGTGATCCCGATTGCGAAGCTTTTAACTGGAAACTTTGGATTCCAAAAACTTTAGTTCGTCCGGTCATTGAAAATGCCCATTGTCCACCAAATAAGTGTCATGGAGGTATAGCTAAAACCTTGCAGCGTTTATGGCTTAATTTTTACTGGCCTAATATGTCTGCCGGAGTGCAATGGGGTATAGTCATTGCGCTGGGTATGCAGTTACAGTTGCATGGCTATACTCAATCCCGACTCTTGCGTCCTCGTTCGCGCACTCTGGGCAACGTGAGCAACCCATGTGCGAGATGCGGTAACCAACCCGAGTGGAGCCTTGGGTCACGGCAGAAAGAGAGGGAGCTTCGGTGGGGCCACTCTGTCTTATTCGGTTTAAGGGCTCACTGAAGTCTGCAGCGTCTGTTCACCAGTAGGTGCGGCTGCAAGCGGGTGTCTGCTTGGAGCAAGCGGCTCGCTATATAAACGTGTATTTGGTTGCGAAACCACCCCCGTCCCAGCAATGGGTTGTGCGTTGGGCTTGGGACCCGTCACGTAAAAACCACTTCCAGTGAAGAAGCAAGGCAAAGCCTCGGATGAGACCCCCCCCTTATGATGACGACCACGGCAAATGTTTAAAGGACTACGATTTGAGGGCATGCACCTGGAATGTCCGGACCCTTAATGGGGAAGGTGCCTCTGCCCGGCTGGTTGATGTCCTCGTAAGGACAAAAGCTGACATCACCGCCATCCAAGAAATGCGTTGGACGGGGCAAGGCAAACAATGTCTGGGGCCTTGCGACTTCTACTACAGCTGCCATGTAAAGGAGCGCAAAATCGGAGTTGGATTTGTAGTGGGAGAGAGACTCCGTCGCCGAGTACTGTCGTTCACTCCGGTGGACGAGCGTCTAGCCACAATCCGCATCAAAGCGAGATTCTTCAACATCTCGCTCATCTGCGCCCATGCCCCGACGGAAGAGAAGGATGAGGCATCCAAGGATGTCTTCATGATATCAAAATCGTGCTTGGCGACTTCAATGCCAGGGTGGGCAAAGAAGGGATCTTTGGAACCACCGTCGGAAAATTCAGCCTCCACGACGAAACGTCCGACAACGGATTGAGGCTGATCGACTTCGCCGGGGCCCGAAACATGGTAGTACGCAGTACTAGGTTCAAGCATAAAAAGATCCATCAAGCTACCTGCCTGTCTCCGGATCGAAAAACGAGAAACCAAATCGATCATGTTGTGATAGACGGAAGGCACGCTTCCAGTGTTTTAGACGTACGCACACTCCGAGGCCCAAACATCGACTCGGACCACTATCTTGTTGCAGCCAAGATACGCACCCGCCTCTGTGCAGCAAAAAATGTGCGCCCAAATATGCAAGGAAAGCTTAACGTCGACAAGCTGCAATCACAACAGACAGCCAGCGCTTTCGCTACTCGACTCTCACACCTGCTCTCAGAGAGCACTCTTCAACAAACCGACATATGCGAGCAGTGGAACCACATTTCCCGCTCATTAAGTACCGCCGCCGAAGAAGTAGTCCGATTTCAGCGAGCCCGAAAGAACAACTGGTACGATGAGGAGTTTCAGAAAGCTGCAGAGAAAAATGATGCCGCCTACAGGGCCACGCTGCGATCGGGCGCAACGCGCGCTATGTGGGACCGCTATAGGGATCTGAAGAGGGAAGCGAGACGTATTTGCCGCAACAAGAAGAGAGAGGCAGAAATACGTGAGTGCGAAGAGCTTGAAATGCTGGCCGACAGGAGGAATGCCCTGTAATTTTACCAGAGAGTTAAGCGACTTACGGAAGGTTTAAAGACCGGGGCGCACTCCTGTAAGAACAATAATGGCGACCTAGTAACTGATGTCCAGAGCGTACTTAAATTATGGAGGGAATACTTTTCCGCCCTACTAAATGGTAGCAGCACGGAAAGTTGTGGAGAAGAAGAACCCGAGCCCGCAGTCGATGATGACGGAGTCGACGTTCCACCGCCTGACTATGACGAGGTACGTATAGCAATAACGCGGCTGAAAAACAACAAAGCCGCTGGAGCTGACAGCCTGCCAGTTGAGCTATTCAAGTACGGCGGCGAGAAGTTGATAAGGTGCATGCATCAACTCTTGTGCAGAATATGGTCAGATGAACGCATGCCCGACGACTGGAATTTAAGTGTGCTCTGCCCAATCCACAAGAAAGGTGACCCCGCCATTCGCGCCAACTACCGCTGGATCTGCCTTCTAAGCATAGGTTACAAGGTCTTATCGAGCGTATTGTGTGAAATACTGAAGCCCACCGTCAATGAACTGATTGGGCCTTATCAGTGTGGCTTTAGACCTGGCAAATCCACCATAGACCAGGTATTCACAATACGCCAAATCTTGGAAAAGACCCGCGAGAAAAGGATCGACACTCACCACCTATTTGTCGACTTTAAAGCCGCTTTTGACAGCACTAAAAGGAGTTGCCTATACGCCGCTATGTCTGAATTTGGCATCCCCTCAAAACTCATACGGCTGTGTAAAATGACGTTGAGCAATACCACCAGCTCCGTCAGAATTGGAAAAGACCTCTCCGAGCCGTTCGCCACAAAACGGGGTTTCAGACAGGGCGACGCCCTTTCATGTGACTCTGATGTTGGAGAAGATAATAAGAGCTGCAGAACTGAACCGCTCAGGAACAATTTACTACAAGAGCGTGCAATTGCTGGCTTATGCCGATGACATCGACATCATCGGTAACAAAAACCGCGAAGTCTGTTCTGCCTTTTCCAAGTTGGACGAGGACAAGACGAAGTATCTCCTGTCATCAAACAAACAGTCACCACATTCGCGCCTTGGCACCCACGTCACTGTTGACAGTTACAATTTCGAGAAAGCAGAGAATTTCGTTTACTTGGGAACCAGCATTAACACCGATAATAATGTCAGCATTGAAATCCAACGTAGAATCACTCTTGCCAATAAGTGCTACTTTGGACTGAGTAGACGGAGTAAAGTCCTCTCTCGACGTACGAAAACCACGCTCTATAAGTCACTCATCATGCCCGTGCTGGTATATGGCGCAGAAGCATGGACAATGACAACATCCGATGAGGCGGCTCTTGGGGTGTTTGAGAGAAAGATTTTGCGGAAGATTTACGGTCCTTTACGCGTTGGCGACGGCGAGTACCGCAGACGATGGAACGATGA